ATTTCCAATTTAACCAAAAAAAAAAAAAATATATATTACATCATTCGAAGAGAATCAAAGATTAGAGATCTTTAACGTAAAAATTAATTATTAACAACAAGAAGTATAATTAATCTAATTATATTCAAAATATAATATGAGTTATTCTATATATATATATATATTATATCTTCATTTTCATGGGTATATTGAGAAGTTTTAGTTTATGTCAAACAAAAAATTTTGATAATGTTATATCTTCTATTATATAAAGCAAAGTTTAATGTGTTATTGGAGAAACTTTTAAAGATTAAGGAGTAAAATTGTCTTTTTAGAATCCTTTTTTAAAACTTATCCAACAATTTTATTGAGTATAATAAACCTTATGAATATATTGATTTAAGTCTAATATCTTTTATTTATTAAATTCATTACTTATTAAATAATTAAAATTTATTATACTTGATTTAGAAAAATTATGATCATTGATTACCTATTCCTTAAATGATTAAAGAAGAAACATTACAACAATTAAGGAATTTTCTATGGAATTATAATAAATGCCAAATATAATTGATAAATAGCATTTTGATAAAAAAGTATTAATAAAAATGATGACATGCAATACCATTATAATTGAATATTTAGAATTATAATAATATGAAAATTACTGTAACCTTATTGATAATGAATATATTTACCATGACACTTTGTATAAATTTTGAAGGATTAGCTAAACAGAAATTTTAATCAGCTCTTTAATTAATTTTGAGCAAATATATTTATGATGCTTAATTTTCTTACCTTAATGAAATTACCTTCAAACATTTAACTTCCAATTTTGAATAATTCCTTAATAACTAACAGGCCTTAATATGCTCAAGTATTTTAAGGAATCGTTGAAGCTTTATAATAGATGTTATTTTAAATTTCAATATATAGCTATTTGGGCATATTTCATATTTCCAAGAAATAGGCCACTCCTTATCTGTCAATATATAAGAATGTATTGTTATATTATTTATAAAATAAAGAAGGTATATTAAAGGAAGAAATATTCATTGATTAGTTTCCAGGTACTATTAAATTAATTGCTATTCATTTTAAATTTATAAAAAAATGATCTATAAATTTGTGAAGTTGTTAATTGATATTGATTTAACGCTGATTTTGTTACTATGATCAAATATGTAGTTGCTTCTTTATAAATAAATTGAAGATATGGACAATATTTACAATTATTTATTAAAAAATAGCAGCTGGAACAACATCATAAGATAAGGATGATGAACAAATAGATATATATTAAATTTTATTATTTAAAGATATTTAAGTTTATATTTATTAAATTTATTTGTAAATTAATATGATGATATAAAATAATGTCATCTTCTAAATTAATAATTTAACATATTTATTATCTATTTACTATATTGAATTCAACAATATATATAGATCCTTAATTTTGATGATGCTGTTTCTTATTTAGAAAATATAATTTAGCCTATTCACAATATTGTTGCAGGTATTCAATATAATTAAATTCTATCATTTCTAGAGATCCAATTTCAACTTATCCATTATTGTTCTTTACCAATACTGGATTAGAAAATGATCAATTCTAATAATGTAGACTAATTATGATTATTTTAAGTATGTAAAGTGTTATCAACCAATTTTTAATCAAAATATTGTTTAAATTATATATTCAAAATCAAGTATGATTGTTGATAAAGGAGATTCAATTATGTTTGATAAGAAAGAATTACTCCATATAAACATTTAGAGAGATTATTTATATAATCATTATACTATATTTCTATCATATTTCCTAAATTTTAATATACCATAATATGCATTTATATCAATATAGAAATAACAAAAGTTTAACTTCTAATTTTATTGGATCTTTATTGTTAGATCTTTTGATAAATTCTAGTGGATATAATAAATAATTATTTAAGAGTTTATGATGATATCTAGTATATATTTATAAATTTGCTAACAATTATGTAGTTAATAGAAATAAAAATCTTTTTTATTTTTGAATTACTATAGTCTAGTAATTTTAACTACATTAATCTCTTTATAACAATAACCCCTTATTTAAATTCCCTTCTAACTTTTTAGCTTTAATTTATTCTTCATTTATTTAGTTATTTTTAATTTCATATAATTATATTTAGTAATTGTTAATTTTATGGAATCATATTGCAATTGTTTAATGGAATAATTTTACTAATTTATTAATTAAAAAGAATTTTCTTAACTTGATTCTAATTCTTAGATAAAAATTTATAATTTAGGTTATTTCTGAGATTTGGGTATCATAGGAGAAATACTAGATTTCTAGCTTACAATTTTTTCATTTAATTCATTTCTAATAATCTTGTAGGCGATGGTCTAGATCATTCTTATAACATTTCATCCTTTTTCATTATCATAACTAGATGAATATTAAGGAGATCCTTAAGCCCCGTTATTAATAAAGTGTAAACATTTTCTATATCTCTATCTAAATTTGAGTTTCTTGATAAAAATCATTTTTTATATATATCCAGCAGTTTATCATGTAAGTATTACTATTAAGTAATATAAATACGATTATAAACTTTATTTAGATTATCTATTTTAGATGAAGATGCTGAAATACCTTTAATGATAATGTTGATTTTATTTTAATATTTTATAAATTATTAATTTATGTCAAAATAGCAATAGACGACATTGAATAGAGACACTCAAAAATTATGATTATTTGGTTTCTAATTCAAAGTCAAAACATAATAATTGTGATGTATTTCAAGGATACAATTAAGTTTGTGATGAATCAATCATCATATTCTATTTAATATAATTAAAATAACAATATTATAGAAAATGAAGATGACGTTAATCACCAAATTAATGTAATATTTAAAAACTATTGATATTTCAGATTTTAATATCCATTTTCAATTAGCTTATTAAAATTTATTGCCAGCATAAGAGATAATAAAAAAAAGAAAATAAAAAAACTTAATTATCAAATTGTTTGATCATCAACCATAAAAACTAAAAGATCGATAAATAAATAACAATTCAGCACATTATTTATAATAGCCGTCTAAAAGGTATTAAAATCCATAGTTAAATGTATATAAAGATATATAAAACTAATTTTAATAAATTATATTTTAAATATATGATTTAAACAAAATAATATAATATTCTATTCAAATAAGTTTAATAAATACTATTAAATTATTTTAGAAAATAATATGGATCCAATTCAAAATATGTAAGAGAATATTCATTAAAATAACTTTTAATATAGCAGAAATTACCCCATGATATAAAAAAGAAAATTATAAACAAATTACAAAATTTTTGAATTTATCACAATCCCAAAAATATAGTGTCAATTAGTTTATAATTCATCTTCATATCCAAGCCACTAGTCATTTAAAATGATATCTAATTAATTGCATGTATACATTTAATTTATGAATATTGACTAAAATAGCAATTATTATCAAAGCAGATAAATGCTTTATTTAACAATCTTTAGAATTTTGAATTTCATTCCCATCATTAGATAATTCTTGATAAGATATTATTCAACCTTAAAATGCAATAATCTATATTTGTTATTTAAATAATATTTTTAGGGAAGTTTGGGTCCTAAACATTTTATCTATTTCACGATCAATAATAATAATCACTTATTTCAATATGGAAATCTTTTATATTTATTTCGATTTATTTCTTACTAATAAATGTTGGAAAATAAAACAATTTTTAAATTTATGTTTAAATGTTTTTAGAAATGATGTCTAGAATTATTATTGATTTCATAAATATCTAATCTAATAATCACTTAAAATTATTCTAAGCATATTGTTATTTTTATAAAATTAGTATCCCTTATGTTATTTACAATTAATTTTTAATATCATCTAAATACTTACACTATATTTTAGATTTCAACCCTTTATAATTTTTCAAACTAAAATAATACAGAATATCTCATACTTACTAATTAATATCTTTTATCAAATAATTTTTTGTTCTAAATTCCTTGAGAGGTTAAAAAATAAAAATGACTATTTTATAATTCTTGAAAGAAAATGATTGTTCTTGATTTGAATGGTGATCATTTTCGTTTTCTTTTATTTATAAATTAGTGATTTTATATTATGAATAAGATTATAACGTAATAATATCATCATTTGGTTTTATATATATATCACTTGTTTCCATTATAGTATCTTTTTCAGTTGTAAATGATTATTAAATCAAAAGCATACCAACAATTCCCATACCTCATTTTTAATTATAAATGTTTTAATACATATAAGAAATATTATTATTTGTAATTCTTATTAAGGATTTAATTTATAATTTATTTGATTTTCTAAATAATCTTCTTTGAAAAAAAACTCATTTAAATAATTTAAAGAGTTATTTTGTTTCCTAATTTGACTTTAAATTATATATATATGGAATATTATTTTAAGAACTAAAAAATGTATTTATGAACTATATAAACAATTATTTTAATTAGGATTTCAATCGATTATACAATAAAAAAACACTTGGATTTCTGAAATTATATTATAGCACAACAAAACTCAAAATGAATAGAGTAAAATTTAGACATAAATTAAATTTAATTTTAAGTAAAACATATTCATTTTTTTTAATTTTAATTTAAAAATACAATAATATTCTACTAATTTTGCTAGTATCTGATATTTATTTGATCAATTATTCTTTAAATCAAGCATCATCTTTCAGTTCTACAGATGATTCACTTTTAAAATAACTGCTATTTTATCATTCTCATCAATCAAAAACTTTACATTGATAGGAAAAGCATATATTTAAGTAATTTAGACCTTCAATGACCCTATTTCTTTCCAAAAATTTGACATACTTGAAGGTTTATATTAGTTTATTGCATAATATGGGAGATTTAAAATAAGTCATCTAAAAGAAATTCAAAATATATTGAATTTCATTGAAGTCACTTTCACAAGCCACAATGGCTTAGATTTTAAGGCAATATATTTATTTTATCTTTGTTTTTTAAATTTATTGAATGAAGGAGAACAAATTGGTAATCCTGACATTTCTTTAAGTCCAAGATTAGAGAGATTAATATCAACACCTCTATCGGATAGAAGGGTTTAAATAATGAAAAATCTTTTGATCCTTTAGATTCATTAGATTCATTTTGGATTTACTTTATTAAATAACTCAATCCCTTACATTCAGATCTAGTTTTGAATACCAATTTAACTAAGAATGTTAATCTTTCCATACCTTTTACTCTTTTATGGAAGACTGGACTTTTTTTGGTTGTATTATAATTTTAAATTTAATAAAAATCTTTTCTAAGAGACTAGAGTTAAAAAATTTATGTAATGTATTGATTGGGATATACAATCATCTAATTATATTTTACATTCCTCTTTATTTCCTTATTTACAATATTTTAGCAATATAACATATAGTATATATAAAGAATAATTTAAATACAATAAACCATATATATTCAATTAGATCTAGATCATAATTTATTAGACTATTTCTATTGATTTCTATAATAATTGTATTATTAAATAATACGTGGAATATTAAATAATTAGAAGTTATTTTCTTTGTACAAGAGTAATTGTAAATCTATAAAATAAAGTTAAATTAGGAATGTAAAAAAATTAAAACAATAGCTAATTTAAAATTAAGTTATCTAAATAATATGATTCTAAAAAAATTGATAATTTTCTATAATGTAAATGATTAATAATTTGAATTCAGCTTTTTAATTTAAAAATATAGAAATATCTAATGAATTCTCTTTGATTTGGAATTTGGTAAAATATAATTAAAATAAATAAAAATAAAATATACTTATAAAATAATATAAGATTAATTAATCATATGAATATGTAAAATTAATCTATTATTAATATGTTATTCTAATTTTAAAGGAAGGAACCGTCATTTGATAAATAGCTAAATTTATTATCAATAACTTTTGTACTTATGAAAAACACATTTAAAAAATTCCATATTAATTTTGACTTAATGGCATACAAACATGAAAAGAAATATTTAATAAAATAACAAAGTATTATTCTATAAACAATTACTCTTAATTATAATTTAAACAAATACAAAGTGTAGTATTCTATAAACAATTACTCTTAATTATATAATTTACTTAAAATAATAGGTATAAAATCACTACTATAAAAAATTTCTGTTAATTATATTATTTATTTGAAATAATTTGAATAAAATAACAAAGTGAATTATTCTATAAACAATTAATCTTAATTATTTCCATTTAACAAGCTATTTAGAGACACAAAAAGTGACTGATAAAGAAATTGTAATTATTGTAAATAAAAAATTCAAAAGTATCTTAATTAATCATATTAATGGAAAGACAAAAAAAGCAAAAATTACTTAAGTCAAGAAAAGGAGAATGTAATAAGTAAGTATTGTAAAAGTAGTAATTTGTATATCCAATAGATTCACGAAGCAAATATTTTTAAACCAAATAGCAAAAGAATGCATAAATGTAAATGATCAAAGTCTACATACAAGGCTGATTAGGAATTTGATTTATTAAATTAATGATGTTTTTGTTAAGCATAATAGAAATTAATTTGAAGATTCCCATAAATTGAGGATAAATAGTTCAAAAAGCATGATGAAACAATGAAATCATGATATAATCCTAGAAATAAGTCTTACAACAATATAAAGAAATTATATATGTAAACTTAAAAATTGATAAATTTATTAGAATATGGATTTTAATAATTATA